GCGTTTCATTGGTGGAACAATAAATATATTTTTATTAACAACTTACAATACAAAGTGGTAATAGAGGCGAAATGTTTCGAATATAAAAAATGTGACCAAATCAATTTTGAAAAAAAATTTTTTTCACGTGGTACCGGTAATCATGACGTTTACTATGTGTTCACTATGTTTTTCGGTGTTCCTGGATTTAAAAATGAATTTTGAATATCCAACATCGTAGAAATTTAAAATTGCTGCCAAAATGGCCGATTTTAAGTTAATTGTCATTTTCCCTTCTGGATACGACTTGTAAGATGGCTTTCACATGGTTTTAGATGATGTCATTTGGTTGAATTCTGATCTAAAAAAATAATTTCCAATTCCAAAATGACCGCTAAAATTGTGGATTTGTAATTAATTGTCATTTTCTTCCGCTGGATATGGCTTGTAATATGTCTTATATAAGGTTTTTGAGGTTACTAGGTTCAATTCTGACTCCTACAAATAACTTTGAATAGCCCAGATGTTATAAATTTGAAACGGCAATCAAAATAGAATCCATAATGGGGATTTGTTTCCATGTGGATATTGCTGTTTAAATATATCTAATCAGTTAATCAGGGTTACTGACTTCTATTTTGGGTTCAGAATAAAATTTAAGAATTCCAAAAATCTGTTTAGCGCTCACTGTTCAACTACAATCTTCTTCATTTTGTATTTGTTTGCCCCATCTTCACTGGGGTTAAACGTTGTTTTATCAATTCCAGGGGTGATCTGTAAAGGGGCAAGGTAGTTTCAAGGGTTTATAAACTAGTTAATGCTATTGTGTAGTTTAGGGCGCCATGTTGGTCATGAATTTACGGTGTTGTTGACGAATTGTTAAGAATGCCAAACGGTAAATATGTGCACAAGCTAGAAACACCATGATATACCATAGAGGTACACATACAGTTGGAGAAAACCCCACTCCGCCTTCTCACATAGTGTGGAAACCCGTAACGTAGTAAGGATCATGACCCATAGTTTGCCCCTGGTATCTTACAGCCTGATAGTAACAATAGGTTCATTTAAGAAATTACACATTTAAATCAGCTAAATCGCTATTCTTGGTACCTAGAAATGGACACAAATGGATCACAACGCATAAAATAATGTAATGTGAATGCATATAAATTGATTTACATCGAATCGTTTCTGATTTTACTGTAATTTCTAATCAGTTATGTTCGGCGAAATACGCGAAGAGTCCGAATTGAATGGGTCTTTGGTGTCTGGCTATTCCAGTCTACATCGGGAATAATCTCCTACATGCGATATGTTTAGCCTCGCTCATCGCCATACAGTGTGCTATGACGGAAATTTTGCCCGGGCAGTGGCACTATCGCCTACTCTTATATCGAATTCCAACTGCCAAGGGATCTTTCACGTGCATTATAATGTATACACGGAACCTCGGATTTTCGTATCATCCGAAGGACTAGACAGCTGTCCTTGTCAGGCCCTCCGTTCTGCACCACTGACAAGGGGAAACCACGTCGGAAAATCAGGATGAACTTTTTCGGCCAATGCAGAGATCGAACACCCGACCTCCAGGCTAGTGAGCCAGCGTCTTACGCACTTAGCCACCGTGGCTCCCCCAATCTGATTAAAACACAGATCCTATTTCGTTTAGTATTTTTATAGTTCAAAATGACGTGTTCTGAATGATGTGAGGGTTTAGCCAATGAAACAGTCTGTTACAGCGAGCTTTTGGCGTGTGGTGCACGGAACTGTGTGTAATCCACTAGAAACATCAATGCTGATTGATTGATCATAGGATCAAAAGCCGCTCGTATGACCTCTGACTCGACCTATCACTACAATCGGTCAGATCTTTATGTAGTGTAGGCCACCAAAAGTATAAAAAAACCTAAACGAAATATAGATATGTATTTTAATCAAATTGTTTAGATGGCCGAATGGTTAGCACGTGCGCGCTGTGTCATAAGGTCTGTCAATGAGTCAACTGGCGTGGTTTCGATTCCCCGGTTGTACGTGGCAAGGACTAGGGTCGCCAGTCCAATCACGTGGGTTTTCTCGGGGTTCTCCGGTTTCCTCCCACTGCTAAAGACCCCTACGCGCAAACGAATTATTGAAATAAAATTGAACCATGTTAGTCCCGAAATGACCTAGTTTGTGTCGAGTGGACGTTACCCCCCTTTCGCGCGCTCTCTCTCTCTCTCTCCCCTCTCCCCCCCCCTCTCTTCCCCCCTCTCTCTCTTTCTGTAATATAACAACATCAATTTTGATTTTTATTATAATTATTATTTATTATTACGAACATTTGTATAGCGCACAATTCACTAGGTGCTCAAATGCGCTTTACAAAACATTATAAATTATCACACATTATAAATTATCACAAAACAGTATCACAGATAAACAATATAATCATAAATTATTTAGTAAACAAAATAACAGAAGTCAGTAAAATAAAAGATTACTATGAGATTAACAAATAATTAAAATCGTTATAAGCTAAAGGCTTCTTTAAATAAAAAAGTTTTGACAGATTTCTTCAAAACAGAAAGAGACACAGCGTTTCTGATAGAAAATGGAAGCTTGTTCCATGCAATTGGCGCCCGTACACTAAAAGCTCTATCACCAATTGTTTTTAGTCTTGATCGTTTAGAACATAAAAATAATGTATCAGATGAGGAACGAATATAATTTAAATTGCCCAATAAGTTATGTTTGCAATGTCAAAGACTGTGGATGATACTGAGTTGTAGACTTGACTCCGTAAACAACATTTAAATGTGGCCTACCACTTTCCCCTAGAACTAAAAATAAATTGGGTATTGCAATTTTCAATGAAACGGAAACGTTTCTTCCACATATGAATTAGCTGAGAAGGGCCAAATACAATTTCTAGAACCAGATATTTGATGTTGTTTCCAGGACAAATGTTTCACACAAAATCTCATTTTCTATCCAGGCGTACCTGGATAGATAATAATCTATCTGCATACAAAGTTTACGAAAATACACATTTAAACGGCATTTAAATATGGTCTACCACCTGTAGCACTTTCCTTTCAACATGGAATTTTCGATAAAACGTATATTTTATTGTAGCTATAAAATACCAATTGTTAATTTGCAACACGTTTAAACACATTATCTTTCCACACGACCTATCAATAAATTATCCATTGAATAAAACAGAAACATTTTTTTTTTAAACCTGTATAATAATATACGAATTGTTTATGATAAATTAAGTTCTACCATGTAATTCGGAAATTTGCAACACGTTTAAACTCTTTACCTTTCTATTCGACCTAACAATAAATAATTAATTGTAATAATTTTTTTATAACTGTAAAATAATATACCAATTGTTTATGATAAATTAAGTTCTACCATGTAATGCGGACATTTGCAACACGTTTAAACTCAATATCTTTCCACACGACCTATCAATAAATTGTTCTCTGGATAAATCGGAAACATTTTTTTTATAACTGTAAATAATATACGAATTATCATTTTATACGGCGTATTTTACTAATAATTAAAGTAATCAATAAATGCGGGAAATTGCAATATGTTTTAACGTTCTAGCTTTGCCCTCATAGTTAATGTTGTTGCGTAGTGATGGATATACGCCGTTTTTCATGAACTTTTATGATATATACATCTTAAAAACACCACGATATGCCCATGAAAACACTATTTACAATCGGTTTACCCTCCCCCCCTCAAAAAAAAAAATAAATAAAATAAAATCGAGTCTGGTTGATATCTGGAATTTCGCATTAAGACCAATATTTCAATATTTACCCCCCCCCCCCTCCCGACAATCACAGAATAGAATATTGCACCATCCAACTTTGATCTTTTCTCAAGTTATGAAAATATAAATCTGTCAGATATTTATTTATATATTTGAAAAGAGCAATAAACTTAACTTTACAGTGATACTAACATGACATCTGGAATTACGAATTGGGACCTGTATTTTGACATTGAATACGCCCCCCCCCCCCATCCTCCGTAATCATGGTAATATAGTTTAATGCCATCCAAATTTGATCGATTTTTAAGGTAAGTAGTTATGATTGTGCTAGAAAATAATTTATATATTTAAAAGAAGCAATGAACATGCTAGTCACTGATATCTGGAATTTAGTATTAAGACCCGTATTTTGACATTAAATCCCCCCCCCCACACCGCACCAAAATCACTTGATAGAGTTTAGTACCATTCAACTTTGATCTTTTCTCAAGTTATAAATGTGCCAGAAAATTATTTACATATTTGAAAAGAGCAATGAACGCGCTTTTCAGTGTTATGTAACATCATATCTGAAATTTCGTGTACCACGATCTAAATTTCCACATAGGTTAGAGCTTATAAGGAGACTTAACCTCTCCCCCCAAATTCTTAAACCTAACCCGTGTCCTATTTACATGTCGTGACCCATGACACGAAATCTGCAATGGGTCTTAGCTTTTAGCTCTAACCATAAATAGACAGTCCCTTGTGATTCCATCTTCTCATTCAACTTCGTGGGTTTTATCCCGGGTCCTCTGGTTTACTCCCACTGCTAAAGACCCCTACGCGCAAGCGAATTATTGAAATAAAATTAAACCATATGTTAGTCCCGAAATGACCTAGTTTGTGTCGAGTGGACGTTAAACCCCATTTCTCTCTCTCTCTCCAACTACTCATGGTAGACATCGACTCGGTTGGCACTTGGCAAACAAGTGTGCTTGGGCCTTCCAAATAAACCATGGCAGAATTGACCACTGGCTGAAACCCGGGAGCCCATTTTCTTTTTTTTTTTAAAAAGATTAACCGAATTTTTAAATCAGTATGAAATAAGATCGTCTTCTGTCTGACCTATAAATAAAAGAATGTTAGCTGATTAGATACAGTAAGTAGATCTAAGTAAGTAAGAGTATGACCTTCACATTTGATTAAGATAAGAGAATATATAAAAATAAATATCACTTATCACTTCGTATGTCACGGGTGTAAGTCACGAATATTTTTCATCATGAAGTTTTTACTTGTTTTTATTTTAGCAATTACTTTTGGTAAGACTTTTCATTATCAACATCACAAAATAACCATCTAGTTCATCCATATTGCTGGTTATATTTCAGGGAATTATTAAACACCTTTATTTTCTGGTAGTTGTTTTGTATGTTGCCAGGTTTTAGAAACGAAGACGTGACAACACCAGAAGCAGAATGGTAGTGGGCCGTAGGTTTAATTAGTACGCACTGCAAATTCAAAACTAGTTTACTAGTGAGCGAGCACCTGCTATTATCAATTCAACTATTTACCACGTACTCATTTCAGTCGTCATACATTATATGCTCTTCAAATAAAGTAGGGTATATTGAAATGCAAATACCTATGCAGGTTGTGATATGATAAATAGTCATGGACACTTGACATGCTTTGGGAGTATGTTCACAGATGAAGAACTTATCGTCTGAACAGAACCACTGAGCTGCATGTGCGATACGCAATAGCGCTATACACGTGGGAGGGGTTCATTGTCAAATTTGACACTTCAAGGAAGGGTTGATGAAAACTGTCGCGAGCTGGTTTAACTATCCATGTTTGCTTTCCTATCGGTTCTTGCATAAGATTTACTATTTAACGTATCTTTGCTTTAGTGTGTTACGTTTAATTTGATCGGAAGACGTGTTCGTCGACGTCAACGTCAACCGACAAAACTGCAAGAATTGGCGGTGGCACTGCAAGAGAAGTGGGTCAGATTGCCCCAAATCGTGATTGGACGGTTGATTAGGAGCATGCCACGACAAATTGCTGAATGTCTGAGTGAGGATTGGTGGAGCAATTACTGATTATTAAGACAAAAATCAAATAATTCGTTTAAACGAAATAATCATTTAGTTTAAACGAAATGGTCATTTAGATTAAACGAAATTATCATTTAGTTTAAACGAAATGACTAATGAATGAAATTTTTTTTTTATTCAATACTCGAAAAGCCGAAAGTATTTAAATGTAGGTTCTTACTGATCACCGACAATATCCGACAAGTTTGCAAAAGGTGACCGGAAAGGAAAGATGGGTTATAGATATGCATATCTAAAATTTAAATAATTCATAAAATGTTGCTAAAAATATGGCGGTGTTTTTGAAACCTTAATATTTTTGTTTTCATTGAGTTGATAGTATCCATTGCATGATATGGAGCATCTGTAAAAGTTAACATTCGGGCGGATGGCGAACAGGGTGTATTCCATAGGGTTGGCAATATAAATACTGGCCCTCTCGGATAATTTAGAAGGGTATTATTCCGAAGCCTTTTAAGAAAACCCTGAACTCTGTCATTTCTACTTCTATCTATACTAAACCATAAAACAGTTATATCATTATATTCTGGTTCTTTTTTCGTTATGGTCTATTTTTTTTAAAGATCTAGTTGTATTTTGTTAGTTTTTGTTTTCTCTGAACTCGTCTTAAGGCATTTGCTAATATAAACACGTATGATATTCATACACCTTTATCCGTGATGTGAAACATTTCTTCAAAGCTGGTTTGATTAAGAAAAGGAAGGTATTTAAGCATATTTGTATCTTTTATAAGTATCGGTGCGGTGTCTTATCTCGCATATTCAACGTGGCCAGACAATACAAAATTATATGTCATACCATTATTAATATATTTAATATATTTTATTTTACAGCTGAAAGTAGCCCGCGTTATGAAAAATATCAAAAGTTGATACAAAAAATAGCAAAAAGTCCGCTTCTTCAAAAGAGTTTTGAAAGTAATCTGAAGATATTTGGAGGTGAAGTAAGTTGTAGTAATGAATTCTATGATTTTTAAAATTGTTTCAAATAACTTAATAGTCTGACAAACAGTTCATTGCCCGAGTATTCCAGGGCCAAAACAAATTCAAATCGAGCAGCAAAATATTAAATAAAAAGAGCATTCGACTCTTTTTCAGGCCGAGAAAAGTGAATTTCCCTGTGAGATATTACCACCATCGCCCACAGTACCCACGTCAGGTGAGTGAAAAGACCTTTAATATAGTATTATGACAGATTATGTTATGAGTGGAAAATGACTATGTGTATTTAAATTGTCAGTTAAAACCCACTTTTCTTTACCACAAACATAAGATCTACTATTATTCCAGTTCATCAACTACGACCAAGTGATATAAAGATTGTTGCAGCTTTGGGTGATTCCTTAACAGTAAGATAATTTTTTTATTGTTACTTACTTTTAACTGTACACTGACTTTATACTGGTAACAATCTTTGTATTCAAAGCTATAGTCTGGTGGTAATTTAAACAATTATTATGGTCATGAGGTCAATTAAGCAAAATGACCATTGTAGTTTACTGGACTTGGTACATAAATATTGAGTTTTATATTAAATATAGAATTATTACCATGGAAGGTTTTAACAAAGATCTAGTCATTGTTCTGTACTTCACACTTCTCTGTGGCTAGCCACATGCCTTTAAATATGAATTTATGAATTATTTTTATGTTTAGGCTGGTAATGGTATTACTGCTAAAACTATATTAGGTGTATTAAGAGAAGACAGGGGTGACTCTTTTAGGTAGGTGTGCATTAAAGACCCGCGAAACTCGGCTCTTTTAGAAAAAAAAATTGGCAGTTGTAGTTTTTTCGTGTTTGCGTTCAGCATAACGAGAATTATATTGTCTGTACTTTTATCTTCCTACAGTATTGGAGGGGATGGTACATTTGAAGATCAGATAACCATACCTAGTAAGTAATACTATTTCATATAGGTACTCTCAGTTTTAATCCCTAAAAGCTCGCTAGATATAACCATACCTTGTAAGTAATAATATAAGTATATTCCATATAGATACTCACAGTTTTAACTTGATATTAAACTTGAATCACTAATGCTAGAATTATTAATATTGTAGATATTCTCAAGCGATATAATCCTAGTATCACTGGTTACTCAACAAAGTCCGGGGACATCAAAAAGAAAAATTCAGCATTCAACGTGGCTGATCCTGGAAATGTTTTTATGTAGGAAGTACTGAATTGTTTAGATTATTGTATTTTTAAATTAGAAATAATTATTATGTCCGTTGCTGCTTCAATTGTAATTACCTGGTTCCCGAGACAGGGTCTACTGTGCTGTATTGTTATTCTGGTTAAAGATCATTCCTGTATAACATATGAGAATTCCAGGGGAAGAACGATCTAAGTCACATTTTTGTCTTTTCCCATAAAAGGCAAAACAGACTTTTGGACGAGAATGCTTGAAGCGACCAGAACAACGAGTGGGTTTAATAACAACTTCAAAATGATGTTTAATACGAATCATAATTACCAGTACAACAATTCACTGACTTCCACTTTTCAGCCAAATTAAGGTCAAATAAAGGGTACGAGGGACGTATTTGTCCTGGAGGCCATTTCAGATGTGACTCCGATCGTTTTTACCTTAAATTGATTGTTCCACAGAAAGCTTATACAGTTTGCTACTAGATGGCGTTATTAACTGGGGTTCGTTGCAAAAGTGACTTGGATCGTTGGAGTAAAGGTGGTTCTAAACCACAAATTCCATAAATTATGCGTGTTCCGTAAAATTAGTTTATAGAATGTTATTTTTACTGACTTATATGATTCATGTTGAAAGGACTTCACACTCTTGGACCCTATCACCCCCACCCACTCTCTTGATAGATATTTGCCAACTTTCCGAATGTATTGTTTATTTTGTATTTCAGGGATTTAACAGATGAAGCTAACTTGTTAATATCTCGTATGCAAGCTGATCCTAACATAGATATAAACAATGACTGGAAACTTATCACAATTTTAATAGGAGATAATGATCTGTGTGATATCTGTAATGAAGATGTAAGTTAACATGAAACACAAAAATAACCTTTACCTAAATTCATACATTCAACCAATGTCACATTTTATTCATAAGGTGTTCACTTGGTCATCGGTAGTCAATAATTCGGTTCTGTCATATTTTGGAGATTAAAGGAAACGAAATTAAATGGGGTTTAACGTCCTACTGTTCTGCTCCGAACTGGTCTAATGAAGACGGGCTTACGCCATACAGTGTGATAAAAATAAAATAAAACCAAGTACGAACAATCCAAACCATTGGACAAAATTCGAAGTCCTAAAAAAAACGGTATAGGCAAAATAGTGTAATAAGGCAAAATAGTGTAATCAGCATATGGACTGTTCACCGTGTACAAAATACACGACAAACAGTGGTAACAGGTGTCCGGAAGATGAGGGAAATTTTGCCCGGACGGCGGCACTACGGCCTACTCTTGTATCGAATTCCAACTATCTTTAACGTGCACGCCCATGTGTACACGGTACCTTGGTTTTTCGTCCCATCCGAACGACTCGACAGCTGTCCTTGTCAGGCCTACATCACTGGCAAGGATGACCCACGCCGGAAACTCGGCCAATGCAGGGATAACCAGTTCTATCACATATATGATAATGACTGACACAAATATTGTCCTTTAAGTAGACAACATTGTGACAACAAGACCCAACAGCAAAATATAGTTTTATTTTTACACATTTTGTAAGATGGTGTTTTATGTTACAGGGACATGAAGCAGAAAGATATATTGCCACGATGGAAAAAACCCTGCAAATACTTCAAGACAATTTACCCCGCACTATTGTTAATGTAGTAGAAGTTCTTAATGCGAATATAGTGAAGAAATTAAACAAAGGTCTAATATGTTCTGTTGTTCATTTGTAAGTTATAGTAACACGACCAGTTACTGTCGTAATCATATAGAAGAACTTCCCATGATATCTTGTTCACATTGTTTCCTGTTTGGTTTCTATATTTTCCACTTTGTGTAAAGATACAAAACACTTCTTATATGTAGCTTATGCTATTATTATCTTTTGTAATTTCGCTTTATCACCCCATTCATGGTTTTGCTGTCTTGTTTAGTTCTTGTGTTGTTCTTTGAGAATGATAGTTTATTTTGTAACCATCGCCATGTTGTAATTTGGTCTGATTCAACTGTCTCGTTGGTGTTTCGCTAATTATATGATATACAATCTAATTAAAGTACAGATCTATATTTCGTTTCGTTTTTTTATACTTTCGATGGCCTACACTACATGCAGATATCCCAAGATATAGTGGGGGTTCATGTCAGGGGTCAAACGAACGGCGTTGATGTTTCTAGTGGTTTACCGTGCATAAAAAGGTCAAGAACTTGCCGTAACAGGCCGTTTCATTTACCAATTCCCCGCATCAAGTAGAACGCCTAATACATAGCAACTCTTCCAGATCCTAGTGTAGTAAAGACAAGTAAAATGAAATTTTTAACTATAAAAAACGAAACGAAATAGGATCTGTATTTTGATATATATAAAATTACGTTGGAAAAAGAAACAAACACATGTTTTTGGCTAACGTTTTCAGTACTCCTGAACATTATTCAAAGAAATCTGAAAACGTTAGCCAAAAACATGTTGTTGTTATTTTTTTCAGCGTATTGTTTATATATTTCTCTGGGAGTAATTCAAAGAAATTCTTTTTGGATATATATATTATGGATATATTATGGATATGTATATATATATTATTTCAGTTTTCTGTGTAAATGTGCAGCGTATCCTAAAAATGATGTAGCAGAACAAGAGTTGATTAACATGACACGACTTTATCAAACATCTCTCCATGATCTAGCTATATCAGGAAAATTTGACACAAAAGATGATTTTACTGTTGTTGATCAACCTTTCTTTAGGAATACGTATCCTCCTACTAAGGTAGGTTTACTAAATCTGTTATTGTTGTTGATCAACCTTTCTTTAGGAATACGTATCCTCCTACTAAGGTAGGTTTACTAAATCTGTTATTGTTGTTGATCAACCTTTCTTTAGGAATACGTATCCTCCTACTAAGGTAGGTTTACTAAATCTGTTATTGTTGTTGATCAACCTTTCTTTAGGAATACGTATCCTCCTACTAAGGTAGGTTTACTAAATCTGTTATTGTTGTTGATCAACCTTTCTTTAGGAATACGTATCCTCCTACTAAGGTAGGTTTACTAAATCTGTTATTGTGGTTGATCAACCTTTCTTTAGAAATACTTATCCTCCTACTAAGGTAGGTTTACTAAATCTGTTATTGTTGTTGATCAACCTTTCTTTAGGAATACGTATCCTCCTACTAAGGTAGGTTTACTAAATCTGTTATTGTTGTTGATCAACCTTTCTTTAGGAATACGTATCCTCCTACTAAGGTAGGTTTACTAAATCTGTTATTGTTGTTGATCAACCTTTCTTTAGAAATACTTATCCTCCTACTAAGGTAGGTTTACTAAATTCTACTTTAAAACGTGATAGTTATTTGTCACGTACAACCGGTAAATTGAAACCACGCCAGTTGACTCAATGACAGACCTTATGATACAGCGCGCACGTGCTAACCATTCGGCCATCCAACCATTCGGCCATCGGACGAGGGGCGGACTAGGGGGCCCTATCCTTACTCCGTTACCATTCGGCCATCCAACACCCCTCGATTGGTGATTGGTGATTGATTGTTATTTGAATACACATAGGATTCGTGGAATTGAATATAGCATTGGTCGGCTCCCCTAAAAATTCCGAAACTAGTATACAACACTACCACAACCCGGACTAGACTATAAGTATAGCAGGGAGCCGCAGTTTCTCGGGAGAAAGACGCTGGTTCGCTACGTGGCGTGCCCGTAAAAGAACCCTTGACAGTTGGATTTCGATATAAGAGTACGCCGTAGATTTTCCTCATAGAACACTGCACATGGCGCATTTCCGTCTTCTTTAGCCAAGTTGGTGCAGAAAAGTAGGACGTTAAACCCCACCCATATCATTTCACAAGTATAGCAGTGGGGATAACGGTGCGTCTTCCTTGAATTTAAAGATATTATTACTATTGATGTTTGTTTCTAGTGGATTAGATATTTGACGCTTTTGACATTATTTGTTGAAATTGTAAGGGATTTGTTTTTTTTTGTGGTACCAAATTTAAATGTACATACATGTATTATATAACCTGTTTTGTAGGCTGGATCCGATGATTTAGATCTTTCTTATTTTGCCCCAGATTGTTTTCATCTGAGTAGTAAAGGACAGTCTAATACAGCTACAGCATTGTGGAATAATATGGTAAATGTCTATTGGGTCTAAATAAACTGTTCCTTCGGGGGCAGTATCGCCTACAACGGGTTAACCGTGTCAATCGTCTTCGTGCTGGGGATCGGGGCTTGCAAAAGGCAGTTCGATCAGAATCACCCATATACTGTAGTCAACTCACAGTGTGATCTTTATTCTAAAAAGTAATGAAAATTCCCATTATTCAGAACTGATATTTCCCTGTCACGCGATCTGTGAACGGCACCGACCAGTTGTCAACAAGTGTGATCAGATTAAATTACAAATTCAATTTTATTTTTATTTAAGTCATGGGAGGCTTTTACATAATTACATTCATAAAGTACACGTGCATGTACTGTTGTTCACTGACAACTAGTGTCCATCTGCGTAAACTAAGAAAGGTTAGAAGTATATTCTAAACTTGGGGTTAAAATTTTTATGGCTAATTGGTGGCAAATCTTCAGTTAAAGGGATCTCTCAGATTAAGCAGATGACGGACTTAGTTATCACAGCCCAACACGCTACATCACATTGACATAGTACTAACTTATTTAAAAAGGGTTTGTAAAGCCCCCGTCAGTCCAAAGCTCGACGTGGTTCAGATCTAAAATGTTTGGCCATCCAAGTAGAGTCATAATTTCTAGCAGATCACGTATAATCGCTGTACAAATTCAACCATTCTCCGGGACCCACAGACTCGGTAACTACCCGATGTCGATACGATCAAACAAGACCCCAACACGCTCTCAACACGACCAACGCGATCCAAGAAGATCTTAACACGACCAAACGCGATCCCTATGCGATGCAACAAGACAAGGGGATGTTCATTCTTGAATATCCAGACACAATATGAAACTACAAGCCTATTTCTAAGTTGAGCATAAAATGGCGCATGGCCCTTGGATCTGATTTTTATAAGGAAATTTCGGTTATACTCCTGTGTGCTTTCACTATCAATATTTCTCATTTGAGCCTTTTACTTTTAGTTTCAGCCAGTTGGACAGAAGACTTTAAATTGGGAATTAGGCAGCCCCATAACCTGCCCCACAGAGGTAAGTCCTCCATCTAAGTCGGGTTTCTTCCAAGTTTTAGGAAATAGAATTCAAGGACATTTTGCAATTACATTGAAACATTTAGCTTTAGTTCCACACTTGTATAAACTAGAGTGGGTGACCTGAATGTTTTGTTTTTTATTATTATTTTATATTTGACAATTTTCAGAAAAATCCACACATATATACCAATAAAAACAGTGGCGGTGGCCAGAATTGAAGTGAAAGCATGGACATTTATGGATTCCGGAAAGGAAATACCCAACACTTAACTGAGACAGAATTGTATTCACCTTAATAAAAATATATATATTTCACGTATAATACGTGTATATGGTTTTGAAACTTAACTTTGAAACTGCGGACAAAATGACCACTCTTTGTACGCAAATTGTGTAAGAGTATGTAATATGAAGGTTGTGGATCCTCTGGAGGTCACAATTTTTATCCGATTTTGATGAAACTTAAAATATATCTTAATATCCCAAAGGGACATCTTCCGGATAATTATTCCTCCCAGGGCTAGTTATCACAATCATTTCATGAATGACAAAAAGGTGACAGGAATACATGCAGCTAAAATGTCATATTTGGGTACTCGACCGTCAACACTGATGGGAGTTATCTACCAAGATCAACATCAGCATTAGTCAAGTGCCTAGCCTACAAATTCCTGAAGGGATTAAAGTCGCTCGACAGTCGCTGAGCTATATTTAAAATTTAAAAAAAACAATTAGTGTCGAATGATGTTATATATCTTCGACTTCGACTCGACAGCAAGTTTTGGTTTCACTAATGTATCATTTCAGAAAGTATATACCCCTTATACATATTATAGGGTCCCACCTCCCTAAATTTAGCACGTAGATCAACCAGCATGCTGACAGACAGGAAAAGTATGAAAATTCCGCGATAAGCTCATCAAAAGTTATGATAAATTAGATTCCGTTTTTTTTTATCATGGTTAAAATCACATCAAATATACACCTTCGTGTTCTAGGATTTATAAAAACGCTACGGCACAACATTTCAGTGTCTAAAAGTAGTCACAAATACGGTATAAAGACAACGATGTTATACGGACCTATTCCGTATGAAAGCTGTTCGATACGTGCTGCCTTATCCGTGTGCCGTATCACGCATGGGAAATACACACGCATTGTTGACGTCACACGCAAAATCGATAAGGAATTTACGCTTAACAAAAGTCTCTATTATATAGCGTATGCTTGTCTTCAACAGCCCAATCGGTGCAGAAACTTCATTTCATTTCAGTTCAACAAAACAGAGTAGAAACCCTATCATATTGTTATTAAAAAGCATCGATTTAAATTCCACCCCATATAAAGAATAAACCCACTGCAATGATGGAATAAATGTATTTCATAATATATTTTGTGTTTTTGTTAAGTTTATTCCATGTAAAATATGTAGCCTGTTGTATAATAAGGTCTGTCGTTGATTCTGTTGTCGTGGGTTCGATTCCCAACTCCTACCTGATAAGGACTATTGCGACCTGTCCAACTTCGTGGGTTTTCTCAGGGTGTTGTCGACAGTGAGGTCAATGAGTATGTAATTGTATTAAATGGAGTTCCTTCCCTTTATATTGATAACTCCCGATCTTTGACACTATAGGGGATGCTCGATTCACAGTCCAGAACGTCCCGAATTGGCAGAATCGCAATAGAGTGACGCGGAATTCAGTCCCGTCACAGTTCTGTCAGTCCCTGCAATGGAGGTGATGTGAGTAGAATAGTGACGTAATTAAACACAGCGAATATGTTTCGGCTGCATGGTTGGTTGAGATATTTACTTATTCAGTCGACGCGTGCGTTGTAGCCCGAAATAACCCTTTGCACTCGATTGTCACTATTTTTGGGATTGAGAGAATTCAATTCCGGAAAGTTCAATCGAGTACCCCCGGCTTTACACTATTGACACCACTAGTGTTAGGTCATTTTAATTTCGTCTATAATCGTTTTATTTAGTGGTAAACATATTTAGATATTAATTTATATTCTCTGAGTCGACATTCTGGTTTAGACGTAAACTCGACAATATAGTATACAGCAAAGATTTACAACCCACTGGAAACTTGACATGTATAGTCCTATACTTTGCAACATTCCTAAATCAGTAAAAGCAACGGCGTTTCGATTTTCAATAGTTAACGGGCGTTATTTTACAGCCTTTCAAGAACGGAATCAGCCGTTCATATTGACAACTTAATAAAGCTTGGGGGGGCAACAATGAGACTGATATAGACGAAGTAGAACTTGTTATTGACAGCTCTGAAGGGAATAAATAAATTTATTCTATAACTACATGCGAATACAAGCAACTATCATTGAATACAGCCATTGAATACAGTCATTGAATACAGCCACTGAATAACCTATAGTTGTATTAAATGGCTTCAAAACGTACTACTTTGGTCCAGAATGACGTCACTTTCAGAATTACGTCAAACGATAAGACGTCACAACTAGGCAAACACAATTTTTGTAAAAAAGAAAGAAAAAAGGGCGGAACCTATGATGAATTTTAACATTATTGGTGATTTTGTTTTTGATTATCTGGATAGTACAGTGTATTTTGAGATTTGCATTTAGTTATAGAATAAAAACAGAACTCAGTGACCATTGAATACCGCTCGGAATGTTCATTGAGTTCATCCAGGAAAATAAAGACGGACATGCTACGATGGACATTTTATCAGGACAACAATCAGATTAAACATGTCATGGTGAATTTTCGTCCCATCCAAACGACTAGACAGTGTTCCTTTCCAGGCCCCCCGTTAGTGAGGCAGCGTGTCTACCTCTTTGAATTGATTATAGTTGGTGTATATATCAGCTTATTCTCATTTGATCCGACATTTTACTATATCGTTACGTCATCAAGACAGACACATATTTACATATTATTCATGTCGTTGTTGTCAGCTTTCTGTTCAACACCCACAATTCAAGTGAGATCGACATGATATTTGGCATGCTTGTTGATTAGACCATCACTTGTCGATATGACGTCACAATGCCAAGATGACGTCACTGCAAGTAAGCAGATTTAATAATACTAACACCACCCATCCACATACCTTCACCCACATACCCCACCCACCCACATTCCTAAATAACCTCACCCACATACCCCACCCACCTTCCCAAATAACCTCACCCAACCACCTTCCCAAATATCCTCACCCAGAACATACCCTCAACCATCCACCCACATACCCCACCCAGATTACCGAATAACTTCACCACCCACATACCCGCAGCCACCCACAATACTCACATGCCCTCACCCAAATACTCTCCCCCCCCCCACCACATGCAAACAACTATATCATTATTTTATACAGTATAATATCATACAAACTATATCATTACTTTATACAGTATAATATGTTCTAGTTAAATGTTTAATATTGTTTTATAGTTAGTATATATATAGATAGAATTCAATGTTCAAGTTAAATGTTTAATATTGTTTAATAGTTAGTATATATAGATAGAATTCATTGTTCAAGTTAAATGTTTAATATTGTTTTATAGTTAGTATATATGATTTAATATTTTATACACCATCAACAGACTATAACAACCAGTAGACCCTATCTCTATCTGTTATATTATAGTGTGATAATGGAAGATGTTTGTTGTGGTGTTTGTAGCGGTACTTGACCTGTTTATCATCATCACTGTAGATAGAACCAATAAAACCATGATACCCTACACCATACTTCTTTCTGTTCTCCTCCAGTATCATCTTCTCTAATTCATCCACTGTTTGATCTCTACTTATAGTCATCTTATCATACCCACTGTAAATACAGGTAAATATATATTATATTACTTATATCATACAGGTAAATATATATTATAATAGTTATACAGGTACTGTATATACAGGTAAATAAATAAAACATGTGATTCCAAGAAATGGATAGAAGAAAATAAAATGGACGTTGAAATAGTGGACCTGTTTTCCATGTAAATGGGTCTAATGCAGGTATAATGGGAATGTTTCCAAATAATCGGCGAAATTGCGTACATGTAATACGAGTTTTACAGTGTTCAACTCTGATAAATATCGACTTGGACCATATTGAAATAACAGTCACCAGATGGATAAATACCACGTGTGTGAAAACTGCTAACTGTTATATTAGTGACGTCATCTCTATTTGACGTCATCAATCGGGTGATGTTTTTCTTTAGTGTGGTTTCATCACTCATCTTGTAGTTGTATAGTGATATCAGTGTTTTAAATATGAAATATAATTTTACATGTTTTGTTTCTATCATCCACCTACTAATGGTTCTATTATAACAAGTTTAATATTCCTGATATGTCGTTTACTTTAAATTTCATGTACTATTATAAAATGTTTATTTACCGATATATATTGAGAGTAATCATTTCGTCTGTCTTGTCTGAATTTTTATTAACGTTTGTTTTCTTGACCACCTTTTCATCTTCTAGAATCCTCACTCTCTCTGTCAGTTGGTTCATTCCACGCGTTAATGTCTCTATTTTATCGTCCCTAATAGCGAGTTCATATTTCATGGCGTCCACGTCTTCTGTTAGTTGATTAGTAAGGCGGTTATCGACGATGTTATGATTACCCAACTGTACGTTACTTGTGCCGTGAAAACTGTATATAACAGGGTTTGTTTTAGTTGATTCTGACTGAAATAAATAAAATATATATACAAATAATCACTGATAAATATCATTTGATAACTAACTATCCCCTGTCACACTCTCCTCGCACCAATCAGGAACCGCGGTGATTCAATGAGTAATTCACTGGTTCACTACCAGCATGCCCGGGGTTCAATCCCGTTGTTGGCCGAGAAAGTGCTGATGTATTTCCCTGCGTGGTTACCCGTGTTAGTGGTGTAGGACGGAGGGTCTATAGAGGACGGCGTCTAAATGCTCGGATGTGACAAAACACGAGGGCTCGTGGCCACTTTGACATGCACGTAAAAGAACCGGTGACGGTTGGAATTCGATATAAGAGTGGACCATAGTGCCGTTGTCCAGGAATAGTTTCTTTCATAGTCCACTGTATGGCGTATGTCCGCCTTCATAAGTCTGGTCGGTGAACCTTGACATTGATAATCGACAGGTCAAATCTCACCAATCAATGTATGCCGAATGACAACAGACATGTCGAATCCCACCATTGTCATAAACCAACATCACGATTTTACAACAGTATAGCTACCAAATTTCATTCTTAATCCATTTGAAATTGTGTCTAATGGAGTAGTCCCCCTTTAACCCAATCTTGTTGAAACAGAGTCACACCATTTTCTAACTAACTATAATTAATTTTTAATCATTTTCTAACTAACTATAATTAATTTTTAATTATTTTCTAACTAACTATAATTAATTTTTAATTATTTTCTAACTAACTATAATTAAGTCTTAATCATTTTGATGTTAAAATACTGTGTTGGTTGTCAGTGGTTGTAATCAGGTGAAGTAGACGAATGTCCTGCTCGTAGATGTCAGTTGATCTAGACGTAAAAACAACAATATGGCAGACTTGATCGTAGATGTCAGTTGATCTAGACGTAAAAACAACAATATGGCAGGCTTGATGTGACAGATTTAAGTTCAAGATTTAAATAGATTTGATGTATACAAACTTATATAATATCTATACAACTCACTTGATCAGACATATTAATCTTCTTAATTATAATATAACAGTCTTCTACCGATGATTTGGGCAAGTTATGTCTCTAAAACAGGGGTCGAGGCTGGTCTAAAGATATACGGAAATATTTGTTGTAGAATCCCCTTTTGGGAAAACCCGACTATTTATAGTAGCTAATTCAGTTATATTGTAGTCTAGGTTATCAAGTCACGTGTTGTATTGTTGTATTAAAAATACATTATGCAAAAGCTAAATCTGATTATTGCAAGTCTTTATTTAGGCTTCAGATGTCATAGAAATTATAAATTAGATCTTTATTTACACGACTAGCACAAAATCAACTCTGTAGACCCACGGATGGCTTGGATTCGGCTTGGATTTAAACAGGATTTCATTGATTGATTAAATTTTTAAATGGCGTCGTAAGCGGAGATTAACCGTTACGTTGACGTCATACTCCCGGAAATTTTAGACTGAGGCTAAATGATAGAGTGTACGAAGCGAGGCCGCTGTTGAGCGAGGCCGCATGTCAGTCAATTTGATTGACAGTTCAGTATATACGGCCTTGATATTATGTTTAGTTGTGGTTAAAATGAGAGTTTGGATGTCGGTATTATACGCTCTTTTGTCACTTGCGTTTACAGAAAAATTATGGAAATTGATAAACATCGCAGATAACATCACCCCAGTTGAATTGCAGCCCCATTGGACCACTGTTTCCTATTTGTCTGCTTCGGGAGTTACGTAGGCCTACTAGTTACAGTAAAAACTACAAGAGTACACGCAGGCTAACAAGAAGTCGGCTATAATTATGCCTCATTGATTTGGTCCATTCCTTTCAAACTTTCGCTTCCTATCTAGATATTAAAAGTCTTATTTTTAATTTGTGGTAAAAATAAATCTGATACAAATTGAATTGCAACCCCGTCTCAAACCGGATAGGCTAACGCTACCACAGCCATTGAAAACGTTCTTGATAATCAAGATTATGTAGGTGGAGTTAACGCCCGTCAATCAAACAATCAGCCATTCTCTGAGACGATGAAGAGAGAGTTGACTCCTATTTCTAGTCAAAATTTACAATGGTGATAACTTTGTTCAGAATAAAGTAATTTGACGGAAATTTTCAATATATTTTTCTTTCATCATCTATTTTTGAACTGTTATAGCAAGAATGGCCAATTCTCTATAAAAAATCTCCCATAATGTATCTTTAAATAGACTCAAATATTACGTCGATTACAGGGAAACCTTATCATCTAATATCCATTGTCGTGTAATTACATATACCCACTGCCTTGGCCAATAGCTCCTGAGAATTGAGGGTTTACTTAACGCGAATAAAGCTGGGTCTAACTGACATGACGCCCGGGTTAGTTTTGAATTATTTTGTGGGATAGAAATTTAAAATCCAACCGTACTGTTGGGACCTAAACGTCGAGTTACAAAAGGTCAACGCACTAAATCCTTACATCAAATACTGGACAATCAAACAGATCAGATTTCTGGTTAAATTAAACCATACAAACAACTAAATCATTACATCAAATACTGGACAATCAAACAGATTACTGGTTAACCTGAACAACTTGAATAACCTCATATTCTCAAATATAATCATTTCAATATACTCACTTGATCAGACATATTGATGACGTAATGGGCGTGATCGGTCACCATATAACATAAATACACGAGCTTCTGCACCGGGGCGAGGCTTTCTGCAAACAATATTATTTTTTAGGAATCCCCGTTTGTATAAACCCATACATTATTTTAGTAACTGACTCGGTATAGACTGAATTAAACAAGTTTCAAGGTCGAGGTCGCGCTACAAACAATCGGGAAATATTTTATTATGAATCCCCGTTTGATAAACCCATTCAGTATCTTTAGTATCCCGTTACATATTCCTCGTATACCCCCCCCCCTCCGCGTGCTAGAAATCTTTTTGGTGAGTGAGGTTTTAAATGGTTTAAATGGATCATCTTTCCTCGTATACCCTCCGTACACATTTGAGATTATTGAATTATCTTTTTACAGGTCATCATAACCCCCAAACCCCATGAGTAAACATTGTTGGCCTACATGAAGATATTCATTTTATATGTCAAATGAGTTTAAATTTCCTTTTAGTTTTTTGTTGTTGTTATTTTTTTTATCTGTTATTCATTTGAAAAAGGTATAATTTATACTTGAATCATATGGTAATATATAAAATAGTTACAAAGGGTTTTGTTTACCGGGGTTTTGGGTGATTTTTGTTCTTGGGGTTGTAATTTGGGGCGTCACCTAATTGCTTATATTGCCTTACAATAAAGTAAACGGGTGGACGCAGCTATATTTCTCATGCTATGAAAAGAAATTGAATGGGAATTATTTTTGTGAATGATAGTATGTTAAAATTATGTGCCCCGGGACACTGGCAATAATATTATTATTCCAAATGTATCTATCAGATTTAAGTTTTTGTGAAACAAGGTCTCAAGCTCTTCATCGTTCGTATATTTTCAATATCATCTTCCTGATTTCAAAAAACAATAGTCAGACAATTAGGAGCTTTGTGCAATATTATTTCTAATTACATAAAAACTGATAAGCTAATAATATCTTAATAAAAGTTATTATCTAGTTAAAAATAACTCTAACATGTAAAACAGCAGACGACAAAAAGCGAATTTGATTAAAAGCTTTTAGATTTAGTTTTCAGGCTTCAAATGATGTTTTTGCCCATAGATATCCAAAACGTAAGACAAAGAAATTTTGATCGCAGACCTGCTCATTTACGAGAAATTTCAGTAAAGGAAATTTTAAACTGTTTTTGGGGATTTCTGGATTACCATATGATTTAACGATTTAAAGTCCATTCGACACAAACTAGGTCATTTCGAAACAAACTAGGTCATTTCGACACAAACTAGGTCATTTCGAGACGGACATATAGTTCAATTTTATTTACATAATTCGCTTGCGCCTAAGTCTTTAGCAGTGGCGGGAAATCGGAGGACCTGGAGAAAACCCATGAGGTTGTCACGTACAAGCGGAAAATCGAAAACCCAGTGGCAGACCTTTTGATGCAACGCGCATGCGTTAACAATTCTCATAGCTCGCATTGCGTTAGCGTGTGAATGTCTGGGTGTGTGAGAGTAATGGGGTTTAACGTCCACTCGACACAGACTAGACCATTTCATGATTAACGTTAATCCATTTAACCAATATATGTGTGACATGAATATGTGCATGACGACTAATATAATTGAATCTTTACTCAGGTAAAATTAATTCATTGACACATAGTAATTAAACTGGAAATAAACAGGTGATAATTCTATGTTTATCACTGATCGACGTTTCAACATTGTTTGACATCACCATAACTATGGCCTTCTACACATTAGCCAATAGGGCCTGTACATAATATTGAGTGGTTTTTTTAACCCGCATGAAACTGGATTTAAATTTCGAGATGCAAGATGTTAACACACTAATAATAAGTGCAGTGGGGGAGGGGTGGCACCACACATCGGATACTGGTAATTCAAACAAATTACTGGTTAAATTGAACAAATAGAATAGTCTCTCTAATATAATTATTTCAATATACTCAATTGATCAGACATATTGAGGAGGTGATGTACGTGACTGGTCACCTAATTAGAACACAAATACAACACCGTCTTTCACCGAGGCCGCGCTACGAATAATACGGAAACATTTTTTGAGGAATCCCCGTTAGTATAAACACATACCTTATTTTTAGTAGCTGACTCATATATATGAACGATTTAATAAGTTTCGAGTCTGTGCTACAAACAATATATTTTTTTAGAAATCCCCGTTTGATAAACCCATAAACTATTTTAGGAGCTGATTCAGGTATTGCATATAGTCTTGAATAAACAGTAATTTAAAAAGTTGAATCTGGTCTTTATGTGATAATCGAAACTTGTGTCTATTATGGCCACAGATCACTAATGATTTCCCCATTGACTTTAATGTTAATTCTTGTCTCTTAGACTGGCTCTAACTTTTTCCCAAATTTTCGTTGGGTAGAACGCTTTCTACCAAAGATGGAGCAACATGTGGCAACCTCTTGCCCAAGAGCATGTATGAGGTTCACCATGGAAAACTTGAGATACACAAGCTGGAAGTAGAGACAAGAAATCATTCAATTTTTGACCCTACATTTCAAACTAACCAACCTCTCAACTCTTGAATCCTTCCGCCTTAAAATCATAAATATTCACCAAAACCTGACAGAAAATGTATTTTCAAACCCTTTTCTTCGATTCTACTCCAAAAAGTAAAAAAAAATCGCCATGCAAAAGGGAGAAAAAGGGAAACGGAGAGAAAGACTAAAAATAACTTTCGCCCTACATTCGTGGGATACTGGTAACTAGTGTCTATTATGTCTCAGTCTAGTCTTGATCAAACAGTAATATATATCATTTATAGGGTAATCAAACCTAGTATGTATTATATGGGCGTGACTGTCCACAACACCTAGGTAACTACAACCCCACCTAAGACCCTGACACCCTGTTGCTGCGTGGAATAATTCCATTAATTGCTACATATGACAACGAATTGGTTTTTATGCATCATATTTTAAACATTGTTTATATATATATGTGTTGATATAACATCGTATTAACGTTCATACATTTGATAAAACGGGGCGGTTTGTACATCTTCACCAGTTGTCATTCTACATGTATGGTGATTTATCGCCCTCGCATTGTCTGTTAACATTCTACATATACCACCCTCGCATCGTCTGGTTCACTGTGGTATTGTTCATTTAATACCATGTTGGAGATAATATGATGTAATTATATCTATCACAAATAGAGCTAATTTGATGAAAAACAACTAATGGAACTACACGTCTCTTGTACTCCTAGTTTTTTTCCGTGTAAAGGAATGAAACGTCCCATATAAGTTTATATAATTTGGTTCGATCTTTGGTAAAGCGCTCGTTTTGGCTGCACATCAACATTCGAGGCGCATTACAAAACACATACATATTTAAAAGAACATAACAAACATATACATATAGTACAAATTATAGGATAGTGGCAGTTCAATCACATTTTACAGAGTTTCATTTATTCTGGTAATGTACGCTTATAAAGATGAGTTTTTAATGATTGTTTTAATTTGTCTAATGTTAAAGATGACTTTTCAGAATCTGGGAGATCATTCCATAATTTAAGACCAGCTACACTGAAGGCGCTGTCTGCGAAAGTTCGGTTTTTTTTTTCAGTAAATGGAACATGAAGGAGTTCAGTAGTAGCTAAATGTGTTGAACGTCTATTTAGGTTATATGAAATTAGATTTTTTAAATAGTACGGGGTCAGATTGTTCAGGCACTTGTAGACCATGACAAGGAGCTTGAATTCGACTCTTTCTTTTACTGGCAGGATGTGGAGTTCTTTGAGTCCAGCAGTTGAGCTTGAGTATTTAGATAAACCAAGCGGCAATTTGCCGGCCATGTCTTGGACTCTTTGAAGAGTAAGTAAGGTAGAGACTTTGAGATTGACATAGATACAGTTACAATAGTTAATATGTGAAAACACTAGAGCACTTACTAGTTTGAGGCAGGTTGACTTGTCAAGAAATGGTCTCAATTTCCTGAGATTAAATAATGCTAGGGCTACATGTCATGATTTGAGGGAGATACGAGATTTAAGGGTTAAATTTTGATCAAAAGTAACCCCTAGCACTTTAACACTATTAGAACGGCTCACCATGATATCACCGACTTTCACGTCGGTTACGAGGCAATGCGGCAGTATGCGAGTGCTTCCAAACACGATAAACTCCGATTTGTCATCGTTTATCTTCAAGCGATTTTCGTGTATCCAATTGCTAGTTCAGCGGATGAGTCGGAAGCTTTCCAGCTGGCATACACGTTATGGACATCAGCATATCCTATTAGGTTAATGTCGTCACCAATAGAGTATTGCAGTGTACTAGCATAGCATGTAAACAGAAAGGGATCGTTTATGCTACCCTGTGGCACAGAGAAATTGATGTTAATTGCATCGGAGCAGGAGTCATGAACATGGACTTCAAAGTTTCTGTCAGTGAGAGATGAAGCTATCCATTCTTTGGCATTATTACAAATACCATAGAATGTTTGAAGAACGTCCAGGAGAAGCTGATGATGAACCGTGTCGAATGCGGCGCTTAATTAACTGCGATAAACGCCGTTAACTGTTGATGTTCCATACCCCACACAATATCATTACACAGCTTTAATGTTAGCGTTTCAGTGCTGTAGTGTTTCCTGTAAGCACTTTGATATGCTGGTAAGAGTGATTGTTAGTCGATGTGCTGTGAGAAACTAATTAAAGACGTCTTTTCCACCAGTTTTGAGAGAAAAGAAAGGTTACTTATCGGTCGATAGTTTTTCTTTACACGCTCTAAATTTATTGCTTTAACAGCGGTTTTACTATTGCCCTTTTCCAGTCTTTGTGGAACACTCCTGTCTCCAAGGAAAGATTAATAATATGACATTATGACGGCGAATATGTCCGCATGCTGCTTGATTAAGCTAGAAGGTAATATAAATAGATGTTTCGTTTCTGATTGAATCCGTTCTATTGGCTAATAGCTGTTTTTAAACGCTGCGCTTCAGAGTCAAACCATGGATTTTTTTGGGTCGAACTGTGACCTTATGGGGGGGGGGGGGGTATAAATGTATTAAAGACACTTGAGATGATCAATAATTTTGAAAACATCCCGGATAGGATCGTGGTCGATATATTATATTTTCCGAAATTGAATCC